CCCCCCCCCCCCCTCCCCTCTCCCTCTACTGGGACGTGAAGGGCGCAGTTCCTGGCGGGCGGCCTTGATGAGGAGCAGTCGCCGCCAATTTCGTCACCAAACTTGATACCCGAAAGTCGTTGAATGCGCTGAAAAGGACACACAATGGGACAGTCGAGAGAGATTCGAGTGTCTCATTTGTCTTTGCCTACATGGTAATACTGAGCTCTGCGTAGGGGAAGCATGACACCGGGTCGCAGCACTCAGATGGCCATGTGGGGTGACAGGTGGGGTCGCGCCAGAACTTCTCACAGGCTGACAAGTGCATTACAAAGAAAGGAGGCAGGACACAATACGCTCTTTCATTCTTTTGATTGGCGATGGCTCACCCTTTCTCGTCGCCTTGTTTGTCTCTGGGCTCCAGCCATCCGAAAGGCCGTCCCAGGTCATGTCCCTCGAAGCTCATTTGTGATGTCGTTTGAAACAATCGTCCCCACTCCCCTGCATACATCAAGGTTGCAAGATTGAAATCCTGCACACCGCTCGTGCATTATTACTTTTTCGAGCTGTCGAGGATTCGGTGCGCTTTTTCGTCGGTCTGCGGTAGAATGAGAAGTCCCTTGAAAGCCAACGGCACGACCTAATCGCACTAAGCACGAAGCATGACAAGACAACGACAGAAGAATAGAGCACGAAAGAATAAAGATAAATTGCTTACATTGCTCTCCGCATGATGACTTAATATGGTGAGCAGCAGGTATGCCTGGCACTTGCTGTGTCCCCATTTTGCTTGTTCCTCTGGCTCACCCATCGCCAGCGCTGACGAGACAGAGAGACGATGCATGACAGCATTTCAAGCACTGATGGCTTACTGAGGAGAAGGGCCGCACACGCCCATAATTCTCGGACTTCTGCCATGCCGCACACAGTTTTTTCTGCATCTGACCGAGACATCAAAGGAGACCAGCCGCAAATTTGGCCTGCAAGCATCAAGTGAGATGCTCTCTTGTTTCCCTCTACCCCATCGAGAAATGTGCATATGAAGGGCAGGTGTCCTGTGGCTTTTGGGAGCAGCTTGCAGTGGTACAACACATGTACCCATGCCAGGAGAGCGTCTTGTGGTCTGCACAGAGGACAAGCGACATCAGCTCTGCACATGGCGCCTGTGGGCGTGAATGGGACCCTGCCTGTCTTACGTAGGCTTTTCACCCAGCATTCTCAAGACGTCTTGTTGTCATAGTGAGCCCTTTGGTACCTTGCAGCGCTGAAATGCAGACAGAGGTTTACATGATACATAGCTTTGACTTCTGCTGACGTGTAGGAATGTCTTGCGTATCTCAATGCCTTCTTCTGGGTGGCCGCTGAGGAAGCAGACCACACAAAACACTACCCGCCGGCGGTCGCTCATGTCTTCTTCAGCACCATCTATGATCAGCCTGCAAATACCAAAAGGCCTTCGCTGGACACAAAGGCGACAAAACCTGGACTCACCTCTCAGCATTGCATAGACATCGTTGTAAGAGTGCTATATGATGAAGGGCTCCAAGAAGTAAGTTGCTCTTTCCTTCCTGTAGAGCCATTCGCTCAAATTTCCCCTCCTTAACAAGGGGAGGGACTCAAACAACAATCACCGTCAGAAGGCCACTTTTGGCTTTCTTTTCTTACTCGTTTAGGCGGCTTCCTTTGAAGATGTTGACAGCTCCTCTGAAGTCTTCCGCTTCACGCCTATACAGATTAGAAGGATCCGCCTATACGTGGCGCTTACGCGATATAGAATCCCATGTATGTCTGGAGCCGTGATGGGAGCGTCTTTATCTAGAAAAATAACAGCAACGGATGCGCTTGAAGCTCTTTGTCTTTCTGCAGACCAGCTGATCCAGCTCCTCAAGACTGAGCTTCTTCTTGGCCTTCACCTTCGAGACGTACTCGGCGATCACAGCCCCAGTCGAATGATAGCGTACCCGCCTTGAGGCCGCCGCAACTCCTGACAGGGAAAGAGGATAAGACAGGAAATTGCTACTATAAACCAAACACCTCGTCCACCTTTCGGAGGAGCTTTAGATTTTTCGCCTCAGGTCCTGGCGACAGGTAGAGGGAGAGGGCTGTCATCATGCCTAAGGGACGCAGGCACTCTCTCCCCATTTCTCCCATCTATTCCGCCACTCACCATCAAGGAAGTCGAGGCTATCGTCCATGTTCCTTTGCATGATCCACCAAGCCCCGTCATCCTCAGAGACACTTCATACACATGAAAGAACGTATCTCAAATGATTTTGTGTCCGCTCAACGTGCTCATTACCTTGCCTCGCTGGCCCGCAGCGCCTTCTTCTTTCGAGCTGAAATGGTGCAGCCCCTGTGTCTACCAGGTTGGCATTACCTGTTCGGCCAGCTGCAGTGACATGCCCAGCAGGTCTTTCGCACGAGTCATGCGTGCCTTGTCAAAGTAATTGAATGCGCTGAGGAGCGTGCGAAAAGGGACAGTCGGAGAGAAAATTCGGTTGTTTGGTTTGTTTCTTTGCCTACATGATGATGCTGAGCTCTGCCTGAAGGAAGCATGAGACGGGATCGGTGCAGTCGGATGGCCATGTGGGGTCACAGGTGGGGTTGTGCCAGAACTGCTCATAGGCTGACGAATCCATTACAAACAGAGAAGAGAAGAGACAATACGCTTGTTCGTTCTTTTGATGAGGTACTGCTGTTACCCTTCATCGTCGCCTTGTACGTCTCTGGGCTCCAGCCGTCCGCAAGGCCGGCCCAGGGCAGCTGGCGGCTCGCCTCTTGATGATCCATGGCCATGGCTGGCTGGCCATCTGAGAGAAAGGCGACCACATGGAGAAATGACAGGCACCGAGGAAGCAATCGCATCGTACCTGGCACGAGGACGAGCTCCATCGGCTGTGTCTCAAGAGCTTCCGCAGACTGCTCTTCAGCCCCTGAAGACATCGACACAGAGAGAAAGCTGGCACACGCGAATGATGAGAATAAGCTGTTGTTTTCCCACCTGTGTTGCTGTCTGACAACGAGGCAGCCCTGCCGTCTCCCTCGTCCCTCCTCTCTGAGGACATCTCACAGACAGATGAGCCCCCCGCACACACCTCTGAACGAGACAGGAAAACTCCGCCGACACTCCCAGTGTGCTGAGGGTGGCTACCTACCTGTTCCTGCACTCACGGGTGTGAGCCGACAGCCGGTCTCCACGCCGAAAGAAGGACAAGAGACCCCACCCCGTGGCTGAGGAACGAGGAATGTCAAAGAAGCCCAGCAAAAAAGAAAAGAGAAGAAAAGAGAGAGAAAAAGGGGAACAAAAAGGAAAAAAGACCTGCGTCGAACATCTCAGACACCAGCTCTCCTTCTGCACACAATCCTGAACAAGACGAAGCGACGAGTACTCTGACTTTGAATGTTTACTCGGCACTGCATCGATAGTTTGAAGGGCAGAAGGGCCGAGCGGGCGCTGAAAAAATAAATCTCCGAGGCGGCACAGGAAGAATCGGCCTCTATACCCACAATGAAGACACGGCTTGGCGATACACTTCTCCCCTGTCGCAAAGCGTGTCGAAAAATGAGACGGCGTTTTTTCAAAAACTCACCTGCACACAGACGTATCAGCGCCGTGCATGAGCGCACACGTGAGGAATGGCCACGGGCGCGTGCACACGCACAAGGGCCTCGCTCGCACCATGCACAAACACACAGTTCAGGCTCACACCACATCACTGACCTGACGGAGGCTTCCACGAGAAAGAAAGAAGGCACGGGTACTCTCCCGCAGCCGCCACGCAGACGCCACGCCTAGGGCGCGGCAGGCGGCAGGGCGCCAATGGCGGAGGGCTGCCCGTCTACAGGAGGCGAAACAAGAAGTGGCGGCTGGCATCCGGACAAGCGGGAGGGCCTGGGAGGGGCTTGGGCGAGCCACACAGGATGACAAGCAGCCCGAAAGGAAATGAAAAGGAGGAGATGTGGCCGCGAGAAGGCCGAGGAGGAGGAAAAGCGCGGCGGTGCTGGAAAATCTGATGGGTGAATTCAGAAAATAAAATGTCTTGTCTCTCGCGCGTCGAGAAATCTCGCCGACACGGCGCCTTGTCATTGCTCCGTAAGCGTTTCGGAAGAGGTGCCCGGGCCGTGGTTTTGTGATCGCACTTGCAAACTTAATTGCATCATCAGCCCCCCTTCGCCCCCAGTCTCCTCGTTTCTCAAACAAACCTCCTCTGGGGCCCATCTGGTTGATATCGTCAGCGCGTCATGGCGCCCAAGGCCGCCCCTAAGGGAGGAGCGGCGAAGCTCGTCCCTGATGTGGAGGAGGAGCTCACCGTCGACTTCCCACTGGAGGAGCCTCCCTTCCTCTCGAGCTGCATCAGACTCTTCTCCCGCTCTTATGACCCCACCGACATCAAGGAGGCCACACTGTCAGGAGAAGAGGGAGAGGACGCCCAAGCGGCGGGTGAGGCGACAGACGTTCTGGCGGCGGTGATGGGATACGTGAGGGAGAATCTGGCAGACAAGCCTGCAGCAGAGGTGCCGATGAAGACCCTGGTGGTGACCAAGGACATGCTGGTGCAGTATGCAGTGGAGACGGGCATGAGGGATGCGAAAGACTCCACAGAGATGGCTGGACACACGATGGGCGAGGTGCTTACAAGGCTGACGCAAGACCACGTGGCGGCAGGGCGGAGGAGCAAGTTCAACAAGGCCAAGAAAGATGCAATGGATAGACAGCAGCAAGAGAAAGAGGCGGAAGACGCCGATGAAAGCAAGGAAGTTGCCGAGGAGCCTGCTGCTGACGCGTCGAAGCCATCACTAGACCTACTGATCATCGCCCAAGATCTGCCGGCCACTGAGGAGCAGCTGGAGAGCCTCATTGGCACCGAGAGTCTCCCCTTCTCGGGTATTGTCCACCTGGAGCCGCTGGGGCTGTCAGACGTGAAATACGCGTCCCTTCATGAGAACGAGGACAATTTGCCTGAAGAAGAGAGGCTGGATTCCCTGTTCCTCACACTTGACGAGCTTATCACTAAGGGGGCCAAAGCGGCCGACACCACACTCTCAGTAATACCCAATTGCGCAAGGTGAGAATAAACCGAAACGATTCACTACATACAGCGATGGGATCTGTCTGCCAGGGTCCTTGCTGCGGCAGAAGAGGCTGTTGAAAGCGACGAGCCTGTTGGTGGCCCCAAAGCTCTCGTGGACATGTTGTGCGATGAGCTTGCGGCTATCGAGGACGACAGGCGGGAGTATGAGGCCTTTATGGCGTCGGTGGCGATTCAGTCGCTCGAGAAAGGGGCTGGGGCTGTGGATGACCGTGCACACGAGGGTGCTGACGAAAGCGGGGAGGGGGACGAAGGTGAAGGCGAGAAGGCCGAAGAAGCGGAAAAGGATGAGACGGCCAAGGTTGAGAGCGACCAGAGGTAGAGACGTGAAAAGCCGAACACAACGGGCACGCGAGTTGATTTGTCTCTTTGGTGGCTGGCAACAGGGTATATGAGCGGCTGGTGTCCTCGATTGATCCCTTTCAGCACGATGTGCCCGTCCTGCTTCACTGCCTTGTCGAGCAAGTGGCCGTCAACCAAGAGGTCGACCCAGGCGACTACCCGTTGGGACGTGTATCGTGGTCATCCTGTATGTATTCTCTCTTTCAGGGTTCAGCAGCGCTTGAGGCGGCAGATGCAGAGAATCAGATCGACACGCTAAGGTCATACCTAGACGTCGCACAAAAGTAAGCAAGCCTTACGAAAGAAGAAGAAGACGAAAATAATTGAAAGCCACACCCCTTGGGTCGGGTCGTTGCAGTCGGCTGAGTGCGCCTTCTTTGCCACCGCCCCCTCCCCCCTGCCCCCCTCCCCCTCCCACAACAGGCGGCTCAGTCGGTGCCATCGCCCGCTGCCCCGTCATAGCCCATCGAGACCAGGGCTCTTGTCGGCATGTGGGCCAGACATTTTCCGGCGGCCCCCATCTGGTGGATGTCTGTCATCGCATGACTGACAACGTGCTCGTGCCGGGGCCGGACAGGAGGCGATTCCCGGAGTGGGCCACGCTGCTGCCCGAGAGGAGGTCCGCTTTGAGGTCTCGTTTGATGCCCTTTCTGGGTTTCCTTCCTGCATGTCTCGCTGACCACGCTCTTCTGCTGCATGAGCTCACCACTCTGCTCAATCAGGTAGCTGCATGTACGGTTGCCCGAACGCTGCTGCTCGCGTATTCTGTGTCTGACAACTCCTCAGGTCCAGCCCGAGCGTTGTTGGGGGCTGCAGAGCTGGCGGTTTCGTGAGCGTGTGTCGGCCAGCATTGTGGCCGAGGCGATGGGCAAGTGTGTGGTGGACCGCGACAGCTGGCTCATGGCCACTCAGTACGTCCCGCGAATGGACGCCCTGCTTGTGGTCTTCCATCAGAGGTGCGGTGCTCACTTGGCGTGCAAGTGTGGATGGGTCTGTGAGCGGAATCGACATCTTTTCTTCTCTCCGTGTGTCTTGCATTAAGGGCGTTGCCTGGGCGCTGTTATTGGCACTGTTGGAATGCACCGTGGCTTGGGAGACCTTCGTTCATCGAATGGCGGAACTTCATAAAGGTAGGTGCAACACTGTTTTGATTTCATGTCTCGCACTCCTTCGGCTTTGTCTTCTGTTCCCAGGGAGGTCCAGTGCCTTCAATGCTCTACGAGCTGCCCGCCCAGAGCTACCACCACCTGCGCCACACAACCAAGGTCATCACGCCGGCAGACGGCTCCATCATGGTCGTCACCACTCAGCAGCACGGAGCCCAGCGCACTCACGAATTCCTCCCAACGCCCATTCCCCCACCGCCGAAGGAAGAAACCGACCCAAAGAAAAAGAGGAAAGGTCAGACGTCAGAACGCAAAAGCGGCCGTTACAATCTGCTTGCCTTGCCTCCCCTGTGAACAGCCAAGAAGTCGGCCAAGGAGAGTGAGGTGCCCAAGGACCCGCTGGCGCCTCCACCGGTCCCGCCGGGCTACGACCCGCCGGCCACGCACTGTGTGCGGTGGGGCAGGATATACAAGGAGGACCTCACTATGGGCATCTACTCGGACGAGACCTGGGCCAAACGCAAAGAACAACTCTTGCAAGTAAGAATAGGTGTCAGGAAAACCTTTGAGTGTTCTTCGCTCTATTTTGTATTTGATCAGGCGGTGGAGGCGTATGACGCTGCTGTCGAGGAGCTGATGCCCCCGCCAGCTGGGGAACAGGCCGCAGAGGGGGAGGAAGAGAATGAGGGCGAAGAAGCTGCTGAGGAGACACCACCGGCAGAGCAGCCTGCGGCCAAAGACAGCAATGAGGAGCCTCCCCGGCCAAAGGAACGAGACCAGCTCTCCGCCCTGTCTTATGGCGTGTTCTGGCTGACGTTCGACAACCATTCGCGGCTGACCGTGCAGATGCACCACAGTCAGCACTATGCGGTCACGCGGACACCCGACGATCTGCCTGCCCCCTCTGAATCCAATGAAGAGCAGCAGCAGGCCACTGGCGACGACGAGAATGCCCCTCCCGCCCCTCAGCTGGACCTGGATCAGCTGAAGCAGCCGTGTCTCTCGTGGCCCCAACAGACCTCCCCGCTGGGCGTGCTTCTCACCTACGCGTCCTTCACAGGCCTCACCATCCAGTGCATGCCGGACGGCTCGGTCGCCATGACGCCCCCGACTGCCCTGCCATTTCTCTTCCCCTCGCCACACGACGTGCTCACTCGAGTGGCGCTCATTGAGGCACGGCTGCAGATGTCCGAGGGGGAGGTGCCGGGGACCGATGAGGGGCAGCAGCCGCGGAGCCGATTGACGAGTGCTCGCTACTACTTCGGGTGTGTTGAGGATGAGGAGGTCGGGAGGCGGGTGTTGGGCAGCGGGGTCGTGGTGAGGGAACTCATGTCGGGGAGACTCGAGACGCTCTGCCCGGTAAGGAACTAATCATCCGCTCACAATGTGATCGGTTGCCCGCTGTTCATTCATTCATTCAGGACGGCACACTGGCATCGCGCAACCCCACTCGTGCGGAGCTCACCAGTCGCCGCAGCGCTGCCCCTCCGTCCACCCTGCCCCTTTTCGACGCCCTCATCTCCCTCCTCGACACACGTGCATGCGACACTCTGGAGGGCATGGGCGAGGTCGACACCGAGAAGAACATCTGGCGCGCTCACGAGGACATGCGTGAAGACCCGTGGGGATTGGGGAGGGTGGAGCAGGGGGTGCCCGGGCACTGGTTGGTGTGCCGGCCTGACGCCAGGCGATTCGGCAGGTTCCATCCAGACCAGACGTCGCTGCAGGGGCCCGCAGCTGAGAGCGAGGGGGAGGAAGCTGCCGAAGGACAGGCGGCAGAGACACAGGGAGAGGCAGAGCAGCCCGTATACCACCCGCAGGTGTTCTTTGGGGCTGTGTTGGTGGAGGGCGGGTGGCTGGAGTACCCTCTGGGTGAGCTGTCCATCGCCATCCAGAGGGACCCACACACTCATGACAAGGTCGTTTTGGCCGAGACAGAGGTGGCCATCGTGCAGAGCCCACCAACCGATGGCAAAGATGAGCGTGTGAGTTAACGCCTTTTCGCCACCCACGCACTCGCTTCCGCTTCCTTCCTGTATGGTTGTCGTCTGATGTCTTTCTTCAGGTGGCGCTGTTTGGCGACGGCACCCGTATCGTCACATCTTCCCCCATACCGCAGCACCCCCCCACCTCGGCGGCAGCATGGAGGCTGCCCGACAACACGACCATCACTGTCGAGAAGGAGGGCTACGCCAAGACAGTCCTCAAAAGGACATACCCCTCCGGCGCGGCAGGAGATGCAGGAGCACTGACCACCGAGGTGCTACATGGGAAAAACACGCATTCATTCTTTCACCGCCGTTTGTGTGTGGTGCATGCAGGCGCGAGTCATCTGTCCGGACAAGACGCAGCTTCAGGTGGTGCGGGAGATCATAGCGGAGAGGGTGGAGAACTTCGACCCAAACAATGCCCTCCTCTCATCCGCGCGTCCCACTCTCCGCCTGGTCCCCAAGTCAGCGCGCGCCTGCCTCCGCCGGCCCGACGGCACGCTCGTGCGGTCCAATGGGTGCGGCAATGTGAGGGTGGCGTGGCAAGGAGAGGGCACCACAGAGGGGGAGAGCGACCCCATCGGCCTGTACGTGGCCCACTGTGACGAGAACCTGGTGCGCATCGAGGACGCGGAGCGTAACAAGTTCACTCTCATCGGCGATGGCTCTTCCAATGTCGAGCTCGCGGTGGCCATCAGTGGCGAGCCGTCATCGCCGCGATGCCGTGTGCCAAACACCCCCTACTGCCATCCAGACAGAACCTTCCTCCCACTGCCACCCGAAGCACCAAGGCCGCGGCTGTTCGTCGTGTATGGGCAGACTGGCGAGGCGGATGAGCTGCTGCATGAGAAAGAGGCCGGGAACGTGCTGCAGAAAGCGGCCGATAACCCCGAGATGATTGTGCCGCCGGCGAGAGACCTGGACGCTCCTTTTGAGGGTGGGTGGAACACCAAGATGGGATAGAAGTGGGAAATGCATTTCTCGTGTCTCTGTGTCCCACTCGTTTGTGCAGGGTGCAGGCTGCACACGATCTACCACTACGCGTGTGCCAAGGGTCCTCGTCAGCCCATGCAGCCCCTCAAGCTGCCGCCGGTGGTGGCCGGCGTGGATGAGCAAACCGACGACCACAACAATGCGAACGGGAAGGACGCCCTCGTCATGCGGTGGGCGGCCACTGCTGCCCACCATTGTCACGTGCCTCATCTGTGTGTGTTTCTGTGTGAGTGTGCAGGCATCTGTTGGAGTATCAGGAGCTGTCGGAGGACCAGTGGGCGGCCTTCACCAAGGCCCTGCAAACCTACGCAGCGTGGGAGCAGCACTACGGCAACGCGCCGCACCACTTCGACTCGGCAAGCCCCGACAACAAAGGAGACAAGAACGGCGGCAGCGCCAAGGGCAAGAAGGGCGGCAAGAAGGCCAAGGGCGAGAGCGAGGCCGCCATGGCCCTGCTGGCTGATGCGGAAGTGCCGATGCCGCTGGGGCTAGAGCTGGAGAGCCTGACGGTGCGCTCGGGGGCATCACTGGACCGGCGTGCATCTGACTGGAATGACGAAGCCATCGCCTGCCTGCGGAGCCTCCTAAGCCCACATGAGCCACAGGACGCCGCGCAAACTATCACTGCCCATGCAGCCCCGCTCGCAGAGACCTTCCGAGAAGTTGGTGACGGCGATGCTAACCTGGACGGCTACCTCATGCCATCCTCCCAGCAGCTGGGGCTGCCCCGGGAGCCATCCATCGCCCTCTCCCAGCTCAGCTCACCCGCACCAGGCCAAGTGCCGCCTCAGTGGGACCTGGGGGTCGACGAGACCGCTGCGGCATTGCCAAGACGGGTGCCCGTGTTGAAGGCGGGCCGGTCGCTCAAGTATTTCGAGACTGAGGAGGGCATCAAGTGGCTCATGACGAGTGGAATGCCCATGGTGACGCCAGCGGCGGAGATCGCACGAGTGCGGGAGGACAGAGAGATGAAGAGGTCGATGGGGAAGGAGGCCGAGAGGTGGACGGGGCATGGCGGCGATGACGACATCTGGGCGCCGCTGCCGCCGTCTCGGTCCACTGTCCAGCAGCCGCCGAGCCAGCCGTTCACTGCTGAGGGCACCCGTCCTGTCACCAAATCGTCCCCGCCCCCACCCACCTCCTACTTCGACACGCCCCCTCCCTCCCAGCCGCGAGCTCCCCCACCTCTGCAGGTGTCTCGAGGCTTCGTGCTGCCCCCACAAGCGCCTGTGTCTCCGTTCCGGACCGGCACTCTGCCCATCCCTGGCGTGGCCGCCCCCAAGAAGAACCCCTTTCCGCCTCACCCGAACAAGAAGAGCGCGTCGTTTGATGTGTACGGTCGACCGAGGGAGGTGGGGCGGCCGAGAGAGAGGCCTTTCATGACGCTCAACCCCGCTATGTATGTGGAGGGGCCGGTGGATCGGCGGGTGAGGGTGGCCGCCGTCGCCAGCAGGAAGAACGCCGCGCAGGTGAGGCAGCCTTGGAATTACTACGCCTCTCTCTCTCCCTCTGTGTGTGTGCGTGTGTGTGTGTGTGTGTGAAGGCGCCCTCTGTCTCTACGCTGAGGATGACGGGTGCTGGCCTGTGTGCGGCGATGCAACGTGGGTCGGTGCCGAAGGACACCCCCCACCTGTCGATGGTCGCCTACAACGCCCTCAAGGGCCACGTCGACAGCAACATGGACCTCATGCGCACCGCATCCATGCAGGTGGGGGGCGGGCTGAGCAGGGGACATACAGACACGCATCGATCTGTGTGTCTGTCTTGTCTGTCTTGTCTGTCTGCAGGGCCTGGGCGACCCCAACACCTTGGTGCAGGTGGAGCCGCCGTCCCTCAGATTCGGTCCTCTGCGTCAGGGGCACATCTACCGGCTGCACTTCAAGCTGCGCAATTTCGATGTGGACGTGTGCCGCTTCAACGTCAAGGGGCCGCAGTCAAACCTCATCAACATACACTACACACCACAGGCGGTGAAGCGCACACACACATGGCCACAAACCAGCCATAATGAGTGTGTGTCATGGGCAGGTGCCTCCCGGGCTGGCCCTGCCGGTGACCGTCGAGCTCTGTGCCACTGTGGCTGCGCGTGTGGAGCAGATCGTGTCGGTGCGACACAAGGCCCACATCCTCCAGCTGCCGGTGATCGCCGAGGTGCTCGAGCCCGAACAGTTCGACCGACTGCATGAGCAGATGATAGAGTGAGCGGACAGGACGAAACAACACGCCACTTGCAATCTCTCTATGGCCTCGTGTCTCCGTCTGGTCTGCACGCAGCGCTCAAGGCCGCCCTCTGCTGAAGAAGACCATCGAGGTGGTGTCCGATCCCAAGGCAATCGCCAAGAAGCTAGGCCCCAACGCGCCCCTTCCCCCGGACACCCTCACCAAGAGGACAACGGCACACGCCCAGAAAACGGCGATCACCCCGGCGGCCCCTGAGATCTCTCAGGAAGTGACGCAGCAGAGCATGCTGTCAGGCGGGGAGACGTCAGTGTTTTCAGAGGGCGCGCCTGTGCCGCCCGACGTGGCGACAGGGATGGGCAAGTTTTCGTTCAGAGGGAATGGGGAGGGGGAGGCGGTGCAGGTCAGGGGATGAGTGAAGGCGGCAACGGGTGTGTGCGTGTGAGACGAGGGAACATACTTGATAGGGATCGTACGAACGATGTGTGCAATTGACAGACAAATGAATTCAACATATACAGACATGTGGCTGGCGTACAAATCTATGTTTGTGTGCACCAGCCTACTTGACACCGTCTCGATCTTCTACCTCACGAGACGAAACACCAACCAGCACACACACACACACACACACACACTGTCCACAAAGACACACGAGCTAAGCTGAGTCGAGTGTAAGCCCACAGACACAGACACACTGATGCGTTTCCCACAGTCGTCCCTCAGGCCGAGAGGCCGCCCTTTGTCAGCCTGCTCTGGTCGACGGCGATGGTCACAGTGCCGCTCACTGGCACATCCGTCTCGACCACCACCCGATTGCCCCGGGCCGGCCGCGACGCATGCCGCACCAGCGGCTGGCCGTCGTCAAGCTCCAGAGAATACTGCACCCTCTGGATGGTCGCGAACAGCAGCTCATCGGACAGGTCGAATTCCCATTCGGTGGCGTTTGTGAGGTGCAGCTGTCTGGTGGACGATGTGCTGACGGCCGTCATGTTGTTGCTGACGATGTTGCCGCCGATGAAGGTGTCCGACACACTGTCGAACTCGCCATGCAGCTGAATGATGCTCTCGTCGCTGAAGTCGAAGGTGTTGGTGCGGATGATCAACCCCTGAATATGCACCAATCCATCGACAAACACACTCTCACACACACATGAAGCTAGATTCGCTGTGTGTTGGAGGTGCGGCAGAGGCAGCAGGACCCACCCGAATGACAGGCGGCCGCCGGGCGGTTTTCTCGTCTCTGTTGGCCCTCAGCACAATCTGCGCACCGCCGAGGAAGAAACTGTTTGTCACCTAAGTGGTCACGCACCCACATGTGGCAGGAGTGAGCACCGTGAATGCACTGCCGTCCATCCATTCTTGCTTACGGTGACGTGGTAGGGGTTCTCCAATATGACGTCGTTGAAGTCAGGGTAGCTGCCAGCCATAGCCACATACACCACACACACCATGCATGCCACACCGTTTGGGTCGCTCCCTGTGTGCATATGTACCATCCGAGAATGCGCGTGTTGTATCCCGTTGAGATGAAAGATGTCCCCGACCCATTCCAGCTGTGCAGACCCACAAAGGTGTTGCCCGCACCCCTAAACAAATGACATCAGACACATGATAGTGATCCGGAGTGACGGATGATCCGAAGAACGCACTTGTCGACTACTCCGACGAGGGCCGAAAATATGACTACGTTGGACACCACATGGTCGTTGGCCGAAATGTAGATGGCCGTCGCCGTCTGGCTCGTCTGCTTGCGCTCGTCCGAGAACAGATACTGACCCATCCACGTCGACTCGACCACCACCTGACCGCCACAACAGCACACAAACGATGTCTGTTTGTGAGGGATCGATGGGTGCTCGGCTGTTGTCACCTCGTGTCCGAGCCGGATATAGACGCCCCTCTGCTGAAACCCTAAGAACAGGTTCGTCCCAACCACCGCCCCGATGGTGTGGTGGAGCCACAGCACCCCATAGGCAACGTTGCTGCCGTCCAGCATGAGGTTAGAGAAGGACAGGTGCTCGTTGAAGTTGACGAGGTCCTCGTCATCCCCCGTGCACCCGTCGCTCCCAGCAGCCACCACATAGCAGTCGTGTGGGAAGGTGTCGCTGGCCTTGATGGTGCCGTCACGCATGTGGAGGTTACCATAGCCCCGGGGGATCACCACGGGCGCAGACACCGAATACCGGCCGCCGCCGAGGGAGATCACCGCACCGCCCAAGTTCTTGATGCCCCTGCACACGCAGACAGGCGCCAATTCCATCACCGAGAGATGAAGTAATTTTGGATGCAGTCGCTCAATGGCTCACTCACTCGGCCAAGTAGCTGCCGTCCCAGCGCTTCAGTGCCGCGCCCATGGCCATGGCAAACGCGGCTGTCGAGTCCGCAACGCCAGTGGGGTCACCACCAAAGGCAGCAACCGAAATGAGATCACCACGACTTCCAGCGCATTCATCTCGACTCGGGCTGATCAAGGGAGAGGTCAACAAACCCCAGGAATGGCGCCGTACATAATAGCTCGGCGTGTCATTATCAGGAGTCAGTATGGCGGGTGCTTGCGGCAAGGGAGAAAGAAAGTCGTCCAGGTGGTTGCGTCTGCGCTGGTCTGGTGCACCTGAAAGGTGCGAGGCGTACGGGGGCGGTGCAAAGTCGGTCATCGTGAGGTTGTTGTCCTTCACATACGACAGGAAGCTGCTCGGGGGCGCCGCTTGAGCGATAGCGCCGAGGGTGAAGACTGCCACGAGGCAGAGATGGGACGAGCAGGGGAGGAGCCGAGGGACGCATCGGCCGGAGAAGGGGACCAGCATGATGGCCTGCGGGATAAGGCGCCGTGACGTCCATGGTCGATGGCGTTAACGCCTCCGATGACCGTTCACCGATAGCGCACGACGACGCAACGAGGACTCTCCTCAGCAACTGCACAATCCTTCTCAAGCTCTGTAAGCCGTCTTGGAACGCCTCTCAGCCTGTGATCATACTCAAGCTCGCATTTTCCGACATGAAGCTTCTGGGCGTTTGTTTCGCTTCGTTCTTTGCCTTTATGTGCGTGTGGCCTCAGTGCGGAGCGACTCATGCCAGGTTTGAGAAAACCCGCACTTCGATCCTCACTCGATCCAATTGGCAAATGAGCCCTTTCCGGCGATTTTGATGGCCCTCTGAGCTCATCCCAAGCCTCGATGGAGGCCATGAGTGACGTGTGGTCACATCTGCGTCGAGATGGGCTGGTCGATTTCTGCGAGCTTCCGCGACACCACGGCTCTCGAAACCCTCGTTGTATCCTACTGGAGAAACCAAAGCCGTGCGTCTCCGCTCCTGAGCCCCAGTTCTTCTTCCATCTTTGCCCCTGCTGCCGTGTGTCGAAGGAGCTCGCAAACCAAAAGGAAAGGAGGAAGAGTGAGAAGGCCTTGAGGCTATGACGTACTTCAGTAGACAGAAAGAAAGAAAGAAGACAACGCCAACCAGCGAACCCCTGGGATGCTCGCCTGCCTGCCTGCCTGATCTGTGAGAGATCCAACCGCCTCAACGCTACGTAAAGGAAGAGTGAGATCTGTCTGTTTCTGCAGCACACGTGTGTCTGCCGGTCGTATCTGTCGAGTGGACTGGACAAAACCTCTTCCTTCACTGCGGCATCCCATCGGGCGCACCGCTCTCCAGTGACTGGCCCGCATTCAAGCAACGTAACGGCCACACACACAGAGAGGCAGTCAATCCGTTGACACACTGACACAGCATATCATCATTCACGGAGTGGTTCCATTGTCTGGTGTGACTGTGTGTGCAGGACATCGCTGAATGAATCTCGACCAGCAAAGGCGTGCTCGGCGCGTGGAAACTGTCTGGGAACGATGCGCCTCATCATCGACTTGTTCATTCTGGGAGCTGCCGGCGCTGCGTTCATCTCGCGGCATCCCGCCACAGGACTACTCGCCAGACGCTCGCCCAGACACGTCACTGCGCGGCAGACGCTGCACGTAAGAGCAACCAGACAGAACAGAAACGTGCCAGCTGACTGTCCTGTGGTGTCGTTACTTGCGGCAGGATGACCAAGAAGAGAGGCCGTGGTATTTGGCGGATCGGGAGGCGCGCGGTTTTTCATCGGTGAAGTGGAATGGTCCGGCTACGAACCTCAATGGATACATCCTGCACACCCGCCGGTGATTCTCTACGCGATTGGCTGGCCGGATGATTGGTCTGAGCTGAAGGAAAGGCACTCGAGCCACCTGATCCAGACAAGCCCCGGTGACGAGGACGTGATGACGAGTCTTGTGGCGCACAAGGGCTTCGACATGAGGACCATCAAGGACGATTGGAACTCTGGCCGGCTGCAGGAGCAGATTGACGAGATGATGTTGTTGAAGAAAAAGTTTAAGGGATGGGCCTACAACACGGAGATGGGCGGAGGGCAGTGGGAATACGGGACTATGGACATCCACGCGGCGTGCTTTATCACGGGAGGAGAGGAGGCCTTCAAGAGGTGGATCGGCAACAAGACTGGGGACGAGGCAATGAATCAGGCGCTCCAGTACCTCAGCGACAGGGACGTCAGCCTTTTCTACTATAGCGGCCCATTCTTGCGCTATAGCAGCCCCTTCTCGCTGGACACGAGCACCCAGATGGAGACTATGGGAAGTGTCAAGAAAAGGCTGGCCGAGATCGGCCGGCAGAAGGACGAGTATGAGCAGTGGGTTGCTGAGAGGTCAACGACCCATGACTTTCAGCAGTGGCGCGCCGATCGAGCCCAGAGAAGAAAGAGAGAGCGCGAGGATTTGGACGAGAGAGCACAGAAAGTGACGGCCGTACAGTCGGTGTGATTGGGGAGGGATGGAGAGTGAGATAGCGGTTATAGGTACAACACACATAAACGCACAACACACACACACACACACGCACACACGCACGCACAGAGAGAGAGAGAGAGAGCTCTGAGGAACGAGCGTGTGTCTGTAGCTGCGGTGTGCTTTCGGGTGTCTGTCTGTCTGTCTGTCTGCTTGTCTGTGTGTGTAGCGTGATCGATTGCGTGCGTCTGATGTCGGGGGTTGGTTGGGATAATCTCCCCTCTGGAGAGACAGCCGGACAGAGAGAGATTCCTGTGGACGAGCGTTTGTCTGTGTGGATGCGGTGTGCTTGCGGACGGGATGTGAGACTGAGTGTGTGGGTACCCCGTTGTTCGTGAATTGACAGAGGCCCTTTGTGAGTGGATATGTGTCTGTTGCCTCTCAGAGCAACCTGTTTGCCTTCTTGCATGATCTGGACACACTGCTGACGTCTGGACGTGCTTCTGTAACGTAGCTATCACCCGCAAACTTTAGGGTACAACCCGAACGTTGATGGTTGGTTGGTTATTGTGTTTAACGAGCGAGACTCGTGTCTGTAACCCCGGAGGGATCCTGTCTGTCTCACGCACTAAACTAGCAGCATGTACATGCAAAGCATGCACACGGCCTGTCTACCCCTCCCTACACCGGGAGGGTGGGTTGAGAAAATCGATGGCAATCCCATCCGGTTTCACGCCTTTCCTAAACGTTCGCCTTTACTGTTTTACGGACACCCCTGAGGGGCCTGTTTCTCGGCGGACAGGGATGGTTCATGATTGGTGCATCGTCGCGCGTGAGAATTGTCTGACAACGATATTGCACGTCATCGTCGCCATTGGGTTCTTTTTTTCGGGAGCTGCCGGCGCTGCGTTCATCTCGCGGCATCCCGCCACAAGACTCCTCGCCAGACGCTCGCCCAGACACGTCACTGCGCGGCAGACGCTGCACGTAAGAGCAACCAGACAGAACAGAAACGTGGCGCCAGCTGACTGTCCTGTGGTATCGTTACTTGCGGCAGGATGACCAAGAGCCACCGTGGTATTTGGTGGATTCGGAGGCGCGGTATTTCCTCGCTGCGCTGGAGATGGCGGGCTGTACGACTGAAGCCGTGGCTGATGCGCACCCGCCAATGATTGTCTACGCGACCGGCGAACGGGCCAGCTGGTTGCGACTGAGGGAAAGGCACTCGAGCCACCTGATCCAGACAGACCCCGGTGACGAGGACGAGATGACGAGTCTTGTGGCACACAAGGGCTTCGACACGAGGGCCATCAGCTGGGATTGGTACACTGGCCGGCTGCAGAAGGAGGTTGACAAGACAATGCTGATCAAGAACAGGATGAGGGGATGGACGTACAATGCGGAGATGGGCGGAGGCCAGTGGGAATACGGGACTATGGACATCCACGCGGCGTGCTTTATCACGGGAGGACCGGAGGCCTTCAAGAGGTGGATCGGCAACAAGACTGGGGACGAGGCAATGAACGAGGCGCTCCAGTACCTCAGCGACATGGACGTCAGCTTTTCTACTACAGCAGCCCGTTGTCGCCGCCCGATCCAATGATGAATCTCTTAGAGGCTGTGGGAGATCTCGAGAGAGAGGTGGACGAGTACAAGCGGGAGAGAAGAGAGTATGAGCAGAGGCTCGCTGAAAAAAGGGAAGGAGGCGCAGTCAGTGTGATTGGCGAGAGGGATGGCGAATGAGATGGCCCTTTCAGATACAACACCCAGAGACGCACAACACACACAATCACACACTCACACACGGACAGAGAGAGATTCATGTGGAACTAGCGTCTGTCTGTGTGGATGCGGTGTGCTTGGGGAAGGGATGTGAGACTGGGAAGCAGCAAAGCGGGGGTATATATATGGATATATAAAAGGAAGTCCATCGTTCATGCCAGGAGCTGAAAGGCCACCCCCCCGTTTCAGTTTGAGCAAGAGAGGGTCAGGCCAGTCCGTCTGTACTTGGCTGGGAAACGCGTGAGTGCTTGAGGTTCTGTATCTGAGGTTATAGCTGTCAAATGAGGGTCTGTCGGCTATGTTGGACACAGAGATGCATCAATGAATTTGTCATGTATATATCGTTGGCATAATGCGCACTGGCCACGCACTGTGCCGTTGCCATACAAGACCATCAAGCGAAGACGAGATTGAGTCGAAAGATTGGCGTGTTGCTTCGTCGCATGGCATTGCGAACCGTTTGACAATTGAAATGGGTTCACAGTGATCAGCGCACCACGGTGCATCAAATGAGGCTCATTGTCATCGGAGCCTCATAATCAATAATGTCACGTGCAAAGCCCACTTATCCCACGTATCCGAAACTGACAGGTTATGTGTGCATGTGTGTGCATGTGCGTGTCTGTGCGCTTGGAGTCACATGATCAGACAGACACCGCCGGGCGGACACACACTGCAGGGGAGGCCAAGAATTAGCGCCCGTTTTCGCCTCCACCCAATATGTCATTGTGACACGTCCAGACGTCAACGTGTGTCCAGATCATGCAAGAAGGCAGACAGGTCGCTCTGAGAGCCAACAGACGCATATCCATTCATAAAGGGCCGCTGTTTCCTCACGAAAAAATCACCAACCCACACACTCAGTCTCACATCCCGTCCGCAAGCACACCGCATCCACACAGACATACGCTCGTTCCACAGGAATCTCTCTCTCTGTCCGTGTGAGTGTGAGTGTCTGTGTTGTGCGTTTGTGGGTGTTGTATCTAAAAGGGCCATCTCATTCTCCATCCCTCTCGCCAATCACACTGACTGCGCCTCTTTCCCTTTTTCAGCAACCCACTGCTCAAACTCTCTTCTCTCCCGCTTGTACTCGTCCACCTCTTTCTCGACATCTCCCACAGCCTCTGCCAGGTTCATCCTTGGATTGGGCGGCGACAACGGGCTGCTGTAGTAGAAAACGCTGACGTCCATGTCGCTGAGGTACTGGAGCGCCTCGTTCATTGCCTCGTCCTCAGTCTTGTTGCCGATCCACATCTTGAAGGCCTCCGGTCCTCCAGTGATAAAACACGCCGCGTGGATGTCCATAGTCCCGTATTCCCACTGCCCTCCCTCCCTCTCCGCATTGTACGTCCATCCCCTCATCCTGTTCTTGATCAGCATCATCTCCTCAATCTCCTTCTGCAGCCGGCCAGTGTACCAATCCCAGCTGATGTGCCTCATATCGAAGCCTTTGTGTGCCACAAGACTCGTCATCTCGTCCTCGTCACCGGGGCTTGTCCGGATCAGGTGGCCCGGGTGCCTTTCCTTCAGCCGAGACCAGCTGAAGGATGCGCCACCCGAGTAGACAATCATCGGCGGGTGTGCATCAGCCACGGCTTCAGTCGTAAAGCCCGCCATCTCCAGCGCAGCGAGGAAATACCGCGCCTCCGAATCCACCAAATACCACGGTGGCTCTTGGTCATCCTGCCGCAAGTAACGATACCACAGGACAGTCAGGCAGCTGCCGCCACGTTACGTGCCACGTTTCTGTTCTGTCTGGTTGCTCTTACGTGCCACGTCCGCCGTGCAGTGACGTGTCTGGGCGAGCGTCTGACTAGAAACTCGATGGCAAGATGACGCGGGATGAACGAGGCGTCGGCAGCTCCCAGAACGAGGAACCCAATGGCGACGATAACGTGCAATAAGCGCATCGTTGTCAGACAATTCTCACGCGCGACGATGCACCAATGATGAACCATCCCCGTCCAGGTCATGGCAGCCGAGGAGATCTTCACCTGGCCTTATGAGTTAGGGCCGACGGCGCCGTCGGACTTAAAAAATACAGATCTTCTGCCCGAAGGGCAGGCGTGAGAAGGCACTTAGTGCTAAACACAATAACCGATAACCAACTACAACCAGTCATCGGTGTGCCGAGCACACTCTAGTGGAACCAGTTATCAATGCGCTGAGCACACCCCACTACAACCTTAAGGACAGTGAAACTCCTCCTGGCATTTATTAGCTCCTCACGTAGCTCTCTGATCTCCTGCACTCGGAGCTCTTCCTCTTTCTCCACCGCTTTCGCTGCCTGTTGTACCTGTTGCTTCTTTTTCTTCTTTTCCGCCTCTTCTTCCGCTGCCCGTTCCCAGCGGCGCAGCTCCTTCAATGCCGCCTTCTCTGCCCCAGTTCCTGACATTGACTGAACGGCCATCACTTTCTCTGCTCTCTCGTCCAACTCCTCGCGCTCTCTCTTTCTTCTCTTAGCTCTCTCGGCGCGCCACTGCTGAAAGTCATCGGTCGTTGACCTCTCAGCAACCCACTGCTCATACTCGTCTCTCTGCCGGCCGGTCTCATTCAGCCTTTTCTTTAGACTTGCCCCAGTCTGCATATAGGTGCTCATGCCCAGCAGGCTGCTGCTGTAGTAGAAAAGGGAGACGTTCATGTCGCTTAGGTACTGGAGCGCCTCATTCATTGCCTCGTCCTCAGCCTTGTTGCCGATCCACCTCTTGAAGGCCTCCTCTCCCAATGTGATATCGAAGGCCTCCTCTCCCCATGTGATATTCAAGGCCTCCTCTCCCCATGGAAAATTGAAGACCTCCGGTCCTCCAGTGATAAAGCACGCCGCTTGGATGTCCATATTCTCGTATTCCCACTGCCCTCCGCCCCTCTCCGTGTTGTAGGCCCATCCCCTCATCTTTTTCTTCATCAGCATCATCAACTCAATCTGCTCCTGCAGCCGGCCAGAGTTCCAATCGTCCTTGATGGTCCTCATGTCGAAGCCCTTGTGTGCCACAAGACTCGTCATCTCGTCCTCGTCACCGGGGCTTGTCTGGATCAGGTGGCTCGAGTACTTTTCCTTCAACCGAGACCAATCATCCGGCCAGCCAATCGCGTAGAGAATCAGCGGCGGGTGTACAGGATGTATCCATTGGGCATCGTAGCCAAGCCCGCACTGCACTTCACCGATGAAAACCCGCGCCTCCCGATCCACCAAATACCACGGCCGCTCTTCTTGGTCATCCTGCCGCAAGTAACGACACCACAGGACAGTCAGCTGGCGCCACGTTTCTGTTCTGTCTGGTTGCTCTTACGTGCAGCGTCCGCCGCGCAGTGACGTGTCTGGGCGAGCGTCTGGCGAGTAGTCCTGTGGCGAGATGCCGCGAAATGAACGCAGCGCCGGCAGTTCCCAGAATGAACAAGTCGATGATGAGGCGCATCGTTCTCAGACGACCTGACATCGTCCCATTTTCCACGCGTGCTGTGTCGCTCGAGATTTTCACGCGCTGCTGCAGGGAAACCAGGTCGCCTGGGGTGCTCCCAGAAACCGCTGCAACAGGGAAGAGGGACGAAAGATGAAGGAGATAAGGAGATAAGGAGATGAGGAGATGGCTGCCTGATTGATTTCCGCTCATCATCTCGTCGCCCCTGCTGATGATCCACAGCGACGCCGCCCCGCCGGATGCGTTCCTTTCAGTGACCATCGTAGCCATGACTACATCCACCAACGACCCATCCATCCACTGGAACAACCACAACCACGCCCGTCGGTGGCCGACCCATCTCCCATCTGTCGGCTGCCTGATGGTGAGAGCTCGTCGGCAACACACTCTACGGGCAGCAAGTCTGCGTCCACGTCCACGGGGTGAGGCGACAGAAGAAAAGAGAAAACGCTGCGGGACAGAGAAGAAGTTGCTGGCTTTGTCTGTGTGCGTCGCTGTGTCTGTGCAGTATCTTCCTTTCTTCTACGTTTCGTTGTCGGATGTCGCAGCAGACCAAGATGGGCACTGCACGACAACCGCTGGCGTGCAGCACACGACACACATGATTTATGTGCTCTTTTCTGCCCTCAGAGGGTCAGTTTCTGAAGGCTTTCTCTGAGGCCGTGGAGCGAGCAGCGCAGCGCGGTGCGTCAGTGGCTGCGCTGCTTCGGCGGCTCGAGGTGAACGAGTCGAGGCTGAGGGCCGCGGAGAAGCTGTGCCTCCACTGCGCCGGTGAGATGACAAGAAAGGCACGACGACAGACACAAAGAGGGGCGGTGTGCTCATGGGTTGCGTGTTTGGTGGTGGTGGTGGTGGTGGGGTGCGTGTGGGTGTGGTGTACGCGTCAGGTTCTGGTGTGGACAGCCACGCGTGCCACAGGGCATTCCACTGCCAGAACTACTTCCTCAAGATCGACGCCAGTGACGGAGTAGAGAGGATCAGGGGCACCACACAGGGGCTGCAGCTGGGATGAGCTGCAGGCCGTCAGACTGTTGTGAGGCTGGCGGCTAATTATTGAGTGTCGTTTGTCGCCGCGGTGTACAGTGACACAGACGCTCGTTCTAGATCTTGTCTGTACGTGTACACGTGGGTGCCTGGTGTATACGCACATACACTACACGGGTGTCTTCCCCTCTGAGTGTGTTTGGGTCTGTGCATGTGCGCGTGGGGAGGATGCATTGCTTGTGGGGAGATGGGCGATTCATTCCGACCGGCATTACTGTTTGGTTTCGCATAGCGATACTCCCACTTAGCCGTTTTCGAATGACTCGGCGCTGAGTCACCAGGGCCTCGCAGTAGGCTGCCTGGCTCGATGAGGCGAATGAGGAAATTGAGTCAGTGTTTGACAGTCAAAATTGGTTCAATGCGTCGAAGCCTCACAATCAATAATGTCACGTGTAATCTCTCTCACCCGAAACTGGCACTAAATGGGAAAAACGCCAAAATCTCCCACTCATCTGACGGCGATTAGTGATGCTCATCAGGCTGTGTCTCACTCACACATAGCACAGCCGACATGCGAGAAGAATATGTCTCTTGTGCCGGAGTCTATGGCTTCGCACGCAACGTCATGAAATGTGTCGTTGCTCTTACAGGTGAGTTGAAGCGGCAGCTTGGTATACGCAGTGCACTGTGTAGGTGTAGGAGACATGCGCCCCTCTCCGTTGAACCGACTCATGCACACCCATGCCATCAACTGACCGGATTGGTCGGCTACGTCGATGGCAATCAACACATCAGTCCACCCACCACGATCAGCCGATAGTTTTTCCGACGGGCTGACGGTCGTCGGCTCGTCGCTGAGTGTGATTGCATGTCAGACGGAGAACAACATTCACTATCTCACGCGTGAATGTACACGTCATCATGATCACATAGGGTGAGTGATGGTGGATCGCTAGAAGGATGGAGGACATGGACTTCATAAATAGAGTGCACTTCAGAACTTAAATCCTCAATCGCCAAAGCTGTCTGTCACACGGGAAACCTTACCAAACAAGGCCACAATCAGTGTCGACAGAGCCAACCAGCACCTCCGCTTGACCGAGAAATACAGAAGGGATGGTTGGAAGACCGCAGCATAAAATCAGTGCGTCCCATCATACACACACTCTCCCTTCCCACCGATACGCCGCTGCCTCAAATGGCCAGCAAAAGGCTGACCAACGAGACGCGACAACGACATGCGCAGAGGCCTCAATAGCTCTTCTTGTTTCCAACACAGCCGCAGACCCAGGAGCACATTTGGTTCCATAGTTGCCGACAGCAGCCGCACAGCCGAGCGGGCAGCGCCCAGATGAATGCCCACAGTCGCTGCCACCACGTCATTGGGGGAGGTGGCACCAGACGTCTTCCGCTCCGTGGGGTCGACGCACCGGATGCCGCTTGGCTGTGGGCCGGCGAGGCGGGCTGGATGAGGGGCGAGGAGGGGATCGGTGTGGGGGAGCCGCTCGGCCGGAAGGGCAGGGCGAGCAAAGGCGGTTGCGCTGTGCAGGGCGGGGTGGTCGGTGAAGCCGCCTCTCCAAACTCCTCTCTGTAGATGGCTGTGCGCATGCAAACACACACAAACCATAGGTTATCTATTGGCGTGGAGTATCGTCTCACCTGAAAGGTCGGGCATTCTCAGGTTTGACATAAATGGCGGCAGAGTGGGCGTCCGCTGCCCTCCTGACACACTGCCCTCTGAGGGCTCGCGGCCCTTCTTATGACCATCTGAACATGCAGAAGCATACAATATACTACAGGAACACTTGATGGACGATTTCAATTTGGCATGAAAGTGACCCTGTGATCCCTTCAACGACAACACTTCCTCAATGCGGCCCCGAGACTCTGATGCCATGACGACAGACGGCAACACACACCGTGATATGAGTACACTGGCGTCGTACGTGTGCACACCTTGCATGGCGTCCTGCATCGCCAGGTACTCCATAAGCTCCGGATTGGCGCGCGCAACCGTTTCTGGATCGAACAGGTCAACAGAGATGTGTCCCCCTCCGCTCCCCTCCCGCCTCCCCCGACTTGGTGTCCCGCTTGTGCCTACCTGCTGCTCGATATGCTACTCGAAAAACTCTTGTGATTCCGGTGAAGGTAACTGGGTCGACCGAAAAGAAGCCTCTAGGATCAAGGGCCTCTCCGAGTCCTCGTGGTCGTCGCTCGCCCAAGAAGACGTCAGGTCCACTGTCCCCGCTCGCCTCGCTCGCCTCGTTCGCCTCGTTCGCCACGATATCCATCCGACTCGTCATATAAAAATGCCTTCAATGGTGTACTCAAGATGATTCAGCCGAAATTTGTCGTTGACTCGATCGTCCAACGGCAACCCAACGGCTGCAAGCTTAGAAAAGGAAGACCACTCACTGGAACATACGAGAGAAGACGTGACGACACGCGTGTCAGTCATCGAAGGACATGACGTGTTTCATCGAGGAGCCGGAACCAACGCCTGAGGACGAACGAAAGGCAAGCCCCAATCTCACTCCTCCTGACGTGACATGTGTCATCCCCCCTTCTCCATCCTCTTGTGCAGGCCTTCCTGAGGGAATTGGAGGAGAGGGACAGGAGGAGCGACAACTTCTTCACCAGGGGCCTCCGCAACCTCGAACGACAGGCCGGTAAGGGAAAGGCTCGAGCGGACCCGTTTGCGGGTGTGGACTCTGTATGGACCCCCTCCTCGCTCTTCGCTCGTCCGCAGGTCTGTTCATGCAGGCCAACCCAGAATTCGCCAGACAGGCCTTTTTGCTTGACGCAATGCAACGTGAGATGTGACGCCGATGTAGTAGAGTTGCCGCAGGTGGGTGTGTGTCGCTCTCTGGCGTCAGAGTCTCGGGGTCGCATTGAGGAATTGTCATCAAATTCGTCAAGAGGTCAGCTGCACGCGTGACTGGATGC